CCCCAAAACCCCAAAACCCCAAAACCCCAAAACCCCAATCTCCAAATAAAAGCTGGAACTCAAGACACTAATAAATAACTAATTTCTACAATTTAATGGAAGATCTGAACAGATATATTGAGCTTAACAACGGAAACAAGATGCCGTTGGTGGGCTACGGGACATTCTCTGGTGAAGAAGAGAAGGAGTTACATGACTGCATTGTACATGCCATAGTAGAACTCGGCTACAGACATCTCGATACTGCAAAGCTATACGGTAATGAAGAAGTTATTGGCTGTGCCTTACAAGAATGCTTTGAAAAAGGTATCAAGAGAGAAGACCTTTTTATTACAACCAAAGTATGGAGAGAAGATTATCATGATGTGGAATCTGCTATTAAGGAGAGCCTCAGAAAGCTCCAGCTAGAGTATCTTGATCTGTATCTTATTCATTGGATGGTCACAGATATTGATTGGAAAAATCTTGATGTCAAAGGTCCAACCATGCAAGAGACTTGGAAACAGATGGAAGGAATTTATGAGGAAGGGCTTTCTAAGAACATTGGTGTCTCTAACTGTCCAGTGATGATGTATTTGGATCTTCTTGCAGGAGCAAAAGTTAAACCACAAGTAAATCAAATTGAAACAAATCCTCATTTTCAGCAAAAAGCTTTAATTGAGTTTACAAGAAAATTTGGAACAGAAAGTACAGCTTATGCTCCAATTGGAGCCCAAAAGTTTACTGGGAATGGAAGTTTGTTTGATAACGAGGACCTCAAATCTATCGCAGATAAGCACGGCGTATCCGTTCCCCAAATATGTCTTGCTTGGAATATTAATAGAGGAGTAGCAGTTATTCCAAAATCTACAAATAAAGATCGCATGAAAGCTAACTTTGAAGCACTCTCCATTACCCTAGACGAGGATGAAATGGCCACTATCTCCAAACTTGACAAGAACGAAAGATTCTTCGATCCTGCTAAATGGGAAAATGAGACTGGGGAGGAAGATTGGGATAATTCTCCGATTTGGGCTTAGATATCAGCCCTGACCAATTTTTACAATTTATCCAATAAATACAAATATGGTTCAGTTACTCTTCCCAAAATTGGGGTTTTGGGGTTTTGGGGTTTTGGGGTTTTGGGG